AAGTCAGCCATGAAGTCCGCCAAGATTTGAGATTTGATGGTGGTTCGGGGTCGATACTCAATATAGTACCCACTTATTTCTATGGCCCATTTGGCCAATCGACCCAAAATCTTGGGTTTGTGCAGAATATTTCGAAGAGGATAAGTTGTTACAACACATATCGGATGGCACTGGAAATATGGTTTTAGTTTCCTAGAGGCGCTTATTAAATCAAGCGCTAATTTTTCTAAGTGTGGATATCTAGTTTCGGCCTCGCCTAAGGTTCGACTGACATAATAAATAGGGAATTGCGTACCGCGTTCTTATCGAACCAGGACTCCACTTACCGCTATCTCCGAGACAACTAAGTACACGTAAAGTTGTTTGTCCACTTTCGGGTTATGAAGCAGTGACGAGCTCGATAAATACCGTTTTAGTTCCTCCAAAGCCGGGTGGCATTTCGGAGTCTATGCAAAGTTACTCTTTTTCTTAAGTAGCGAGAAAAATCGGTGGCTTCTATTTGAGGATCTCGAAATGAATCGTCCTAGGGTGGCTATCTGTCCCATTATCCTCTGCACGGCCTTCACATTATCCACTACCGTAATATCCTCGATAGCTTAGATTTTATCGGGGTTGATCTCGATTCCCCGATTGGATACCATGAAACCAAAAAACTTGCCCGAGCCAAACTTGAATGCATATTTTTGGGGGTTGAGCTTCATATTGTATTCCCTCAGTATATCGAAAGTTTCCTGCAAATGCTTTAGATGGTCCTATGCTCACAGGGACTTAACTAACATATCATCAATATAAACTTCCATTGATTTTCCTATTTATTTTTCAAACATTCGGTTTACTAGGTGTTGATAAGTTGCACCAGCATTTTTTAGACCGAATACATTATGTTAAAACAATAGGCACCGTACTTAGTGATAAACGAGGTCTTTTACTGGTCCTCCAGGTTTATCTGTATCTGATTGTACCCGGAGTAGGCATCGAGAAAACTGAGAGTCTCATGGCCGGCCGTGGCATCGATCATACGATCGATATTAGGCAAAGGAATAGAATCCTTAGGGACTACCACTACGTTTGCTAGCCATTCGGGATATTTTACTTCTCGAATGGATCCTATTTTAAGAAGTTTGGTTACCTCGTCCTTGATGAAGGCATGTTTGACCTCAGACTAAGGCCTTATTTTTTGCTTTACCGGATGGAATTTCGGATCGAAGCTTAATCTATGAGTGGTTATTTCTGGTGGGATCCCTGTCATGTCAAGATGGGACCAAGTGAAACAGTCCATGTTTGCTGTAAGAAATTGAATAAGCTTTTTCTTGAGCTCGGGATTTAACCTCGTGCCTAGGTATACCTTTCGCTCTGGTACATGTTCGATTAGTGTGATTTGCTCCAGCTCTTCGATCATTGATTTGGTAGCATCGGAATCATCGGGGACCATGAAGGATCGAGGGATCCCATAATCATCATCTTCATCAGTTTTCTACTTCTCTAGTTGGGTAGAGGCTGACATTTGTGATTGCTATTTGGTGTCCCGTTTCTCCTTTGAATTTGATCCCTTTGTCGATGATAGTGATGATATCAGAATTACTTCATCGACAACAAATATTTCCTTTGCGGTCAGTTGTTCCCTGTAGACCATTTTGATTCCCTCTGGTGTTGGGAATTTTAGAACCTGGTGAAGGGTCGAGGGAATGGCTCTCATGTTGTGGATCCACGGCCTCCCGAACATGGCGTTAAACTTCATGTTGCCCTCGATCATGTGGAACTTCATCTCTTGGATGGTCCCCGCCACATTTACTGGCAAAATTATCTTGCCCTTAGTAGTTTCACACGCCATATTAAATTCGTTTAGCACCAGGGTTGCGGGCACGACCTGGTCTTGTAGATCGAGTTGCTCTACGAACCTTAATTGAATGATCTTGGCCGAACTACCTGGATCAATTAACACACGCTTAACTTTAGTTTTATCCAAAAGTACAAATATTACCAGTGCATTGCTATAAAGCTGCATGATCGGACTGCAGAGGTCGAGGCCATTTAGTATTTTTGATGCGTCTATAGCTGACACGATGGCAGATGCATCAATATTGAAGTTATATTCTGATAACCGCGGTGCTTCATTAGGTCCGGTATGCCTGTCGAACCTATTCTTGTTCATCAACCTTCGAGACCCTTGGCCTCGATCACTTCTCCTTTCGCCTCGTACAGAGTTGCTTCACGGTTCGCTACCCCCACGATCTCCGTTATACGGCCGGTATAGGTCCCTATTCGATCAAGTTGTGGTCGTCTTCGACTCTAATCTTCAATTGATATCGCTATCCCTTTTAATAACAGACCCAGAACCCAATTGGTCGTCTTCGACTCTAATCTTCAATTGATATCGATTGTGTACATCGGCCCAGGTAATAGCCGGGTACTCAATCAAGTTCTGCTTCAACTGTCGTGAAGCCATCGAGCTTGATTCATTCAGTCCTTGGGTGGAAGCTTGAACGGCTCAATCGTTCGTGACTGATGGTAGATCCATTCGTTCCATTTGGAAATGAGATACGAACTCTCTTAGCATCTCGTTATCGTTTTGCCTTACCTTGAAAAGGTCCGACTTCTTGGTCTCGGCCTTTATGGCTCTGGCATGTGCTTTTACGAAAAAAGCTATAAGTATAGCAAAAGAATCGATAGAGTTAGGCGGTAAATTATGATATCATAGCATTGCTCCCTTAGACAGGGTTTCCCCGAACTTCTTTAATAATACGGATTTTATCTCGTCGTCTTTTAGATCATTCCCTTTAATGGCACATGTGTAAGAGGTGACATGTTCGTTGGGGTCGGTCGTCCCATTATATTTAGGAATTTCGGGCATGTGAAACTTCTTGGGGATCGGTTTGGGAGTTGCGCTCGGGGGGGAGGGGGGGAGGAGGAGGGTTTTTGTACGAAATTTTTGGAATCCAAGCCCTCCAATATTGGTGGTGCTCCCGCGATTTGATCAACCCTGGAGTTATAAGTTTATACTATTTTGTCGTTTGCTTCAATCCTCTTTTCTCCTGACTCAATTCATTTTGTTAGTTCCTCGAGCATCCTAATAATTTCGGGATTAGTCTTGTTCATTTGATCTTACCACAGCTGGCCCCGTTTTGTGGGTGACTTCTAGGGGTTGACCGGGCTCGGGCCTGCTCGGTGTCTGGGTTTGACTCTGCAACTCAGCTATCTCTATTGGTTGAGCTTGCAACATTTCGAAAATCATACGCAGGCTGATCTTGTCTTCTCCAACATTTTAGGTGTTTTGAACTGCAGAACGAGTTCTACCATGAATGTTGTTTCAGGGTCTGAACGTTGGTTCGCCTCAATTGCCATATGCGAATTAACATCAATTGGATCTATGGCCCGAGTTCCAACGGGGTCAACAAGTGGTCTTTCATTCCCGTGCGTCAGGTTGTTATTCTTATCTTGAAGGTTAGCTTCGTTGTCGATAGGTAGGGCCATTAATTGAGAGATTGTCGTTTTTAACCTGAAATCAAAGACACTTCCAAGAACAAGTATAAAATAGTGTGTTTTGTAGAGATTCGTACCAAATAACAACTATTATCCTTAGCCCCACGATGGGCGCCAAACTACTTAAGCGAAAAACGGATAGAGTTGAGTTTGTATGTAGTTCTAAGGATATGTGATATAAATTGATACAAATCTGGAAAAATATATAAATGGATATTTAAATTAGTTATAAAAGAAAATGAATACAAACCCAAATTGAATAGAGAGTGATTGATAAGAAAACAAGATGAATCAATATCAAATCCCAAAATGGATAATATTTGCTAGATGTTATATAAATCTGAGTGAATCTGAATGTGAATGAATAAAATCTGCCCTTTTACAAATGATAACCACTCTTAATATAGTGAGGGAATCCTACTTTGGATATATTTAAAAATATATAGTGGGGATCCCATGATAAATTAATTAATAAGTTTTTCCTTGATTCAAGCAGTGATTTCTGCCGAGATTCTTTTCCCAAATGCGGTTATAACGACTTTTTTGTTCCTTGGCTCGGTCTCGATCTTGGCTGGTCTCGGTATTGATCGGTCTCTGGGTCTCGAGCTCGATCTTGACTCGATCTCGGTAATGATCGGTCTCTGGGTCTCGAGCTCGACCTTTCAACTTCACATCATAGCTCGATATTATAATGACGAACCTCGTTCCATCATGCTCCAATCTTGACTAGTCACATGAAGGACAAACTCGATTCTGACCGTATACAATGATAACTTATAAAATTGAAGCAATGAATTATAAAGCTTGAATAAATTTTAAGTTGAATATATGGATTGAGATGATTGAAGACTTATCCGATAGTATTGAGTTGGCTAAATAAGAATCAACAATCATTAATTTCTTGTACTTACACTTTTGTCTTCAACTTTTATTCTATAACTCAAACACAATTTTCAATATTATATTTATGTAATTTTTTGTAAAAATAATTATGGACAGGATACACACGTAACGCGTGCGCCGAGAAACTAGTTACATATATAGATCGATAAACTATAATAAACAGAAATTAACCTGGTATGACAAGCTAGTATAATCATTTTTTACAATATCAATCAATGTATATAACTTAAATTCCATTACAATTGGCATGGACACTGCTCTTAATGGATTCTGGTAAAAGTTAGAGTACTTTGATGGGATTCGCAAATTCTTCAATGGGTTTAAACATCAGGGGGCATTCAATTGAAGAGAAGAATAATGAAAACAGGTAAAGTAGCTGATAACCGATCTGTTGATAGTAATGTAAATAGTGTCAACAAAATGAAGTGGGTTGCTATGGGAAGGCGTGTTGGAAATCAAATTCACAAAAACAATAATCATTTAAAATCTGAGTGACCATTTTACCCTTCAGAAATAATTAATTCCTTCAATCTTAATTACAAAATGTAAAAATATCTATATATAAATATAATGCAGGGGAATTAAAAGCTGATGTGGCACTCTCATATCCCAGCAAATGTATTTATCTAATTTCTTAGTTTTTCATCTTTTTCCTCTAATTTTAATTCAACATAATTAATTATTAAATCTGAATATTAGGTTCAATTACATCCCCTAATAATGAGGAAACAGAGAAGGCAACGGTTTCAAAATTCTCAGAAAATTTTCTAGCCAAAATTTGTATCTGGACATCCAAAAGTCGCCATATGAAACGCACCTTTATTGAAGAAAACAAAAGTGCTCCTTCGTAACAACAATAAAAGCAACAAAAAGAACCGCAGTTGACATTCCATTCTCCCTCCTACAGCCTACAGGTTAGTAATTCTGATACCCACACTGAAGTTCATTAATTTCTTAAAACTCTAAAGGTAATTATTTTATCATTGTTGAATGTTGATACATATAATATTTGTTATCTAAATTTTTTGAGTTCGTTTGAATATAATCATTTGTTATACCCTATGTTTGTTGTGGTTAGGGTTTTGATCTACTAAGAACGAGCGGATATATCTGAATATAGGTGGAAGAATCGTTAGCAGAGGCATCTCTCTTTTGGTGAGAACTGAACTAAGTTGTGAATTTTTTTTACTCAATTTAGTTTTTTTCCCTGAATAATTCGGAAAGATGGCTTTTTTTGGGTGAGTTTCAGAACCATTTCTTCAAAAAGTGAAAAGGCACCTTCTCTTGATGATTTTTTCCACGGCTCAGTTTGTTTTCACATCCTCGCAGTCTAAGGTATATACTCCACAAAATCATTAAACTCCTGCTTTTGAAAGTTAAAGTTCTCTCTTGTAATGTTAGGTCCACGTTAATTATCTTTTTCTTTTTATTTCTGTCCACTTTATTCGGTGCCCGAAACTCTAATTAGTTGAAGTGTTGACAGCTCATGGGCAGACTTTCATCGTTTGTCACTTGAACAATATGTGTGTGTAAATATTTTAACAAATACGTATTTTTCTTAAGTTACAACCATTGTAAAAAAAATAAAATAATAATAATAATAATAATAATTTAGTGGGGGAGATGATATTCTTGTAAAAGCTTCTGCTTCTT